GCTTTTTCGTAAATAGTATTTTTTAGTTTTATCATTGCATAATTGAGTCGGAATCAAATTAGCTCCGATTTTTTCGATTGCAAAAAAGAGATCCCTTCCCCCCGCTTTCTAAAATGATGAATATGAAGTCCGTGGGGCTTCGCCCACCTGGAGAGGGTGGGAGGTTTAAATGAGTGACTTCCTCTAACTAAATTTATTTACTAATTACCATCCAAATTTCTATTACACTTAACTTTTTTTTTCTTTTTTATATATGCAATACATTTGATTAGAAAGTTAATACATTTCAAATAATAATTATTTAACTTCAACACAAACTAACCAAAATAGTTAAATTCATTTATTGTATAAAATACATTTCTTTAATTAATTATCTAATTTAACTTTTAAATTGCACTAGTAAAAAAAATGTGATAAAATTATGGATTTAGAGAAATAAACGTATAACATGGGTTGAGTTTTGAATTTAAAATAAAACAGTCTATATTATTTATATATGTGATTAAAGATGTAATAATATTTATTTAGTAATTAATATTTTGAGTATGAATAATTTATTTTTAATAGAATTATTAATCTAAATTCTTTTTTAATAATAATGGTGTGAAATAAATATTTAATTAATTTTGTCATTTATTTTTTTAAAGGTCAAAAAACACATTTGGTTCTGTAATCTAGTTAAAGTAACCAAAGGATTTATCGAAATCATTATTTGAAGGGAAGTATACACCCAAATATATCTTTAACCAACTTCATTATTATCTCATTCTTTGATTTTAGAGAATCGAGACAAGATTTCTCCTTCATGCAACTTTTGCCTAAAAAAAATTAGAAAAAAAAAAAAGGCTTCATGCTATTTTGGCTTGCATACCACGGAAAGAAATTTCATCCTTTAAGTTTTGGCAGATAACCTTTTCTTTTTGTTCTTTTAATAAAAATATAATTTTATTTCCTTTAATTTTCACTTTAATTTAATTTATTTTGGTCCTCTGCATCCAAAAGATTTATTTTAACTTTTATTAATTTTAGTTCTGTGTACTTCTATTACACAATTTTAAAACACTAAAAATCTTTTAATACAATTTTATTGCTATATTTCAATAAAACGAGGGGTGAAATGTCATCTTATAATTGTGATAAAAGAAAAAAATGGATTAAAATAATCTTCATTTGAAAGTAGATGAATCAAAATAAATATTTGAAAAATACAGAAATTATAATAAATAACAGTTGAAGTTTTCGAATTAAAACGAACCCAACCAAAAATAATTATAACAAAATAATATCTAAACCTAAAAGTAAAAATATATAGTTTTCCACGTTTTTTTATTATTATTATTTCTATCCTATAAATGATATTAACAATGTTTATATTTCTCTCTTTTTTTTCTTACTTCTAAATAATAAAAATAAGCATAAAAGATAGATTTCTTCTTTTTTTTTTTTGACAAAAATGGAAAAGATAGATTACAATTTACAAAATATATGTAATTTCTTTCAAGTAAACATGTTCACTTTTCAAATATTAAAAGAAAAAACTTAAAAAATAAATGTTATTACCGTGTCTTTGATTTTTAAAAAT